GAGATTTTTCTCCCCTCAATGCTGGCCAGATGAGTCAAGATTACTTGCCCCACTGCAGGCATGCCGGGGAGCCAAACTGTGGAAAAGGAGCCCTGCTTTTATTACAGCGAAGGGGGTCCATCCAGTCCTTTCCTGCGTTATATTTATTGTTTATGATTAATTTTGCTAGCTTTAACTATATGGACATTACTTTTTCTGTTAGGAGGTAGCAAAGTGGGTGAAAGGAGAAACAAACCAGAAGTGGAAGTTGGGGGAAGCCTAGGAGGGGAGGGAGGAAGGAATACATAGTAAATATTAAGAATTTGAGATGTATGTAATGAATGAAAAAGAAAAATGATTATCATCTCTCTCTCTCTCTATATATATATATATAAATAAAAGAAACACCTGCTTCCCACGGATGCAAACTTTCCTAAGGGTGCGAAACTGAGCGCGCATGCGTGAACACACACACACACACACAAAATCAGTGCAAAGAGTTAGGGAAGAGGACAATTTGGGGGAGAAGAAGAGCATTTGCATAATAAACGCCAGCTAAAACAACCCTGGAAAGCAATAACCTTGAGCGCCAATTGGGCGATTTCAATAATTCATCCCTTTAATCAAAACTGCGAGCGAAGCAGGGCGACGACAAGGAAATGCACTTCGGGCGCCCAGAAATCACTTCCAGCTGGGTTGCCTCCCTCACCCTGCCTCCAAACACACAGAGAGGGGAGAGGAGAGGAGAGGAGGCAGAGGCTGCACTCAGTCCAATGTGAAAAAAAACTTAGGACCTCTTCTTCCCACGCAGTGAAGCTTTTCCCCAGAAGCTGCCAAGACGGGCTCAGCCCTTCCAACCATAATCAGGGCCGGCTGCTTCATGCTGGCGAAGGCAAAACTGCAGCTCGCCACAGATGTGAGAAATAGATCTTTTCTGGCAAGGGAATAGTTTATCGCGGCCAAAACAAATCTCTCGCTCCAGAACCAACACAAAACCAAAACCTCACGTAAAGAAGAAAAGCCGAAGGTTGCAAAACAGGATGCCTAGTGGTCAGAGGGCCGATAGAGGGTGGGAGGGAAGCACTTCAGTAGGGAGAGCAACATGCTGGCAGGGGCTGATGGGAACTGTAGTCCAAATCATTGGGGGGGGCACCAGCTTTGCAAAGGCTGCTCTACAGAGCGCGTTCTCTCTCTCAAATTCGCTTCCAGCCTTGCTAATACAAGGACTACAAATTTTTCCTTTATTCTTCTTCTCAGCCTTAAAAATGGATTTGGAGTTCTGGTTAGTGTTGGTTTCTGAGAGATCATCTCACCCCCTTGGATACCCAGTGGGGGGTCTGCTGCAGAAACCGTCCTATCAGGAGGTCCATTCTACACAATGCAGGATTTGGGCTTTTAGTGTTAGTGGCATTAAAACTTTGGAACTCCCTCCCCTTGAATATTAGACAGGAGCTGCAACTGAGGTTCCCTCCCTTTGCTTCTGTGTCCCAGCATGCCTCTGGGGAGGCAACATCACATCACGTGGAAAAGACTGAACGGAGGGCATTAAGCAGAGGTTATATTTTCTGAGAATCCTCCGGAAAAACACTCAAAGGACCTGTTGATGGCATTTTACCATTGTACCGTTGAGAGTGTATCAACTTATGGTCTCTGTGTGTGGTTTGGGAGCTGCACGGTCAGGGGAAAAACAATGCTGTCCAGGGTTGTAAAGACTGCGGAGAGAATACAGTGGTGCCCCGCAAGACGAACGCCTCGCAAGACGGAAAACCCGCTAGACGAAAGTGTTTTCCGTTTTGGAGGCGCTTCGCAAAACGAATTTCCCTATGGGCTTGCTTTGCAAGACGACAGCCCATAGGGAAATCTCTGGGACAGCGGGGAAGCGCAGCGCGTCTTCCCCACTGTCCTCGGACCTCCTCCGAAGCCTGGCGGCGGGGCGGGAACACCTCCTCCCGCCGCCGCCGGGCTTCGGAAGGCTCCTCCGAAGCCGGGCGGCGGGGCGGGAACACCTCCTCCCACCGCCGGGCTTCGGAAGGCTCCTCCGAAGCCGGGCGGCGGGGCGGGGCGAAAATCTTTGCTCCCCCCCGCCTGCCTTCAAAAGCCGTCCGGGACAGCAGAGAAACGCGCTGCCTTTCTCCGCTCTCCCGGGAAGGCAGGCAGGGGGGAGCAAAGACTTTCGCCCCCCGCCCGCCTTCAGAAGAGGTCCGCGGGGGGCAAAAGTCTTTGTCCCCCCTGCCTGCCTTCCCAGGGGCTTTTAAATCGCCCCGGACAGCGGAGAAGTCCTCCGCTGTCCCGGGGCGATTTTAAAATGCCGCCCGCCAGCATTTTAAGATCGCCCCGGACAGCGGAGAAGTCCTCCGCTGTCCCGGGGTTTTTTAAAATGCTGGGGGTGGGAAGAAAAGCCCTTGTCCCCCCCACCAGCCTTCAGAAGAGGTCCTGGGACAGACTGTCCCCGGACCTGGTCTGAAGGCGGTTTCCATAGGAACGCATTAATTGATTTCCTATGGGAAACCGTGCATCGCAAGACGAAAAACTCGCAAGACGAAGAGACTTGCGGAACGAATTAATTTCGTCTTGCGAGGCACCACTGTAATTGGGTGCACTCTTTCCACCTTGGATCAAATCTACGCTTCCAGGTGCCATAAGAAAGCTGCAGAGATAGCGCAGGATCGTGCGCACCCCGGAAATGATCTCTTTCAGATTCTGCCTTCTGGAAGAAGGTAAAGGTAAAGATAAAGGTACCCCTGCCCGTACGGGCCAGTCTTGACAGACTCTAGGGTTGTGCGCCCATCTCACTCAAGAGGCCGGGGGCCAGTGCTGTCCGGAGACACTTCCGGGTCACGTGGCCAGCGTGACATCGCTGCTCTGGCAAGCCAGAGCCGCACACGGAAACGCCGTTTACCTTCCCGCTAGTAAGCGGTCCCTATTTATCTACTTGCACCCGGGGGTGCTTTCAAACTGCTAGGTTGGCAGGTGCTGGGACCGAACAACGGGAGCGCACCCCGCCGCGGGGATTCGAACCGCCGACCTTTCGATCGGCAAGCCCTAGGCGCTGAGGCTTTTACCCACAGTGCCACCCGCGTCCCTTCTGGAAGAAGGTACAGGGTTATAAAGACTAGGTCAAGCCGCCTGAGAAACAGTTTCTATCCAAATGCGATTTTGGTTTTAAACGCAGTGTAAGGTAGTCTCTATGGGAATATACTGCATTTAATTAGGGGGTATCAAGAGTTTTAGGGGGCTAACCAGGCTGGTTACTACTTTTCCCAGTAGTGATGTATGGAAGTGAGAGCTGGACCATAAAGAAGGCTGATCGCCGAAGAATTGATGCTTTTGAATTATGGTGCTGGAGAAGACTCTTGAGAGTCCCATGGACTGCAAGAAGATCAAACGCATCTATTCTTAAGGAAATCAGCCCTGAGTGCTCACTGGAAGGACAGATCGTGAAGCTGAGGCTCCAGTACTTTGGCCACCTCATGAGAAGAGAAGACTCCCTGGAGAAGACACTGATGCTGGGAAAGATGGAGGGCACAAGGAGAAGGGGGCGACAGAGGACGAGATGGTTGGATAGTGTTTTCGAGGTTACCAGCATTAGTTTGACCAAACTGTGGGAAGTAGTGGAGGACAGAGGTGCCTGGCGTGCTCTGGTTCATGGGGTCACGAAGAGTCGGACACGACTAAACGACTAAACAACAACAACAAAACCAGGCTGGGATAGCAGGCTTGTTGGTTTTTGAATGTCTGATGTAGATTTTTTTCAATTTCGTTGTTCTGTATGGGACAATGACAATAAAGATTATCATATCGTAACGTATTCTTGTAGGCCTGAAACAATCTGCAGACAAAAAACTCATCCCTAAGACTATTCATAAGCAATCAACTCATGGCAGGGCACAAGAAAAGTGTGATAAAACTCCCAAGATCAAAGGTGACAAAACAAATGGCCAACACGGAACCAAGAGCTACATTTTGGGCTTGCACAAGAGTTTTGCTTCCTTTGAACCACTGCATCGCCCTGAGCACACTAAATGCAGGAAACTGACAGCAGCTGAAGCCCAAACAGTCTGTGCTCCATATCTTCCAGGGTGGAAAAGAGGAATCAACCGACACTCTGGCTCTCGGGTCTGAGCTGGGAGTCTTGCAGCCTAAAAGGGGTGTCAGAGTGGAGTCTACCCACTTTGGTTTTCTGTAGACTTTTTAGGTCAGCACAGGTTGGGCTTAGGATGTAATAGAACCACAGAATGGAAGAGCCGGAATATGAAGTTGGCCCATAAGGGAATCAAACCTGGGACCTTGGCATTATCAGCACCACGTTCCAACCAACTGAGCTATCCGAAAACCTTAATTGAGATCACAGGTTTGGATGGCACACTAAGCCAAACCTGAGTTAGTGGCTGCCCTGAACTGACCTTACAGGCCTGGAATGGAGCAGAGCGGCTGCAAACTCCTCCTCCTCGAGAGCCAACACAATTGCAGTGTCACACTAAACCATGGTTTAGCGAACAGCAGAAAATGAACAGCAAACCATGGTTTAGCGAACAGCAGAAAATGAACAGCAAACCATGGTTTAGCGAACAGCAGAAAATGAACACCAAACCATGGCTTAGTGAACAGCAGAAAATGAATACCAAACCATGGTTTAGTGTGTAGCACGATGTGTGAATGGAGCCTCTGCGTGCTCAGGTCTCAGAACCCTCTTCAGGTAGGCATGGATAGGAGTGCAACCACAGCTCCTGTGATTTGTCGGCGCAGCAAAGCCTCTAGATTGGACTGGCCTTCTGCCCTCGTGTGGTCCACTACAGACCAGGATCCTCCATATGGTCCAGTTCAGGGTCCAGTTCCAAAGATGAACAGCAGACGATTTGGATTAAAAACAGAATACCTACCCCAAGTCTAGATTCTGGCACAGCCTCAGCTGGACACCAACACGGTACACGTCACCAACTTCCATACTCTTACACTTCCTTGCAGGGGGTTGGCCTAGATGACCCTTTTCAACTCTACAATCTTGACCCTATGATACTCACTGGCTCCTGGAAGTAGAGCTGATAATCAAAGACAGGTATGGATTCAATCCTTTTCATTACATCCACTGCGGGATCTGGAGGCTTGTAGGGAGTATTCAGTCCAGCCACTGCCCTGAAACATCGCAGCAAGAAGCCAGAGGGCAGTGTTAGTCTGTGGCTGCAAAAAGCAACAGTCTTCCGGCATCTTAAACATTTTAAATAAATTTAGTTACGACCCCTCCCGAGTGAGACAGAGCACTGCTCTGGCCAAGAAATCCTGCTCTTGATTTTTTATTTGCTCCCCTTTATCTTCTTTTTTTAAAAATCATTTTTATTAAGTTTCCCATTTTAACAATCCAATCCAATCACCACATTAAATGTTCCAAATTATACAAATAAATGCCAAATAGTCCAAATATTCTGCCTGAACTATAATTTTTTTGTTGGGACTTCCCATGCTTCAAGTTCGGGTGGGGCTCTGATCATCTCCTATCTCTGCTGCCTTGGACAGCCTTTCCAATAGTTCCTGTTGTTAACCTTCCTTCTTTCATGGCCTCTGAGTTGTTTCCACAAGCGAGCTGAAGTGAACCTGATCTCGTTTTTTGACAGAATTACAAGCCTGGTAGATGAAGGGAATGCAGTGGATGTAGTCTACCTTGATTTCAGCAAGGCATTTGACAAGGTGCCCCATGATATTCTTGTAAAGAAGCTGGTAAAATGCGGTCTTGACTATGCTACCACTCAGTGGATTTGTAACTGGCTGACTGACCGAACCCAAAGGGTGCTCATCAATGGTTCCTCTTCATCCTGGAGAAGAGTGACTAGTGGGGTGCCACTAGTCTTATTCAACATCTTTATCAACGACTTGGATGATGGACTCAAGGGCATCCTGATCAAATTTGCAGATGACACCAAACTGGGAGGGGTGGCTAACACCCCAGAGGACAGGATCACACTTCAAAACGACCTTGACAGATTAGAGAACTGGGCCAAAACAAACAAGATGAATTTTAACAGGGAGAAATGTAAAGTATTGCACTTGGGCAAAAAAAATGAGAGGCACAAATACAAGATGGGTGACACCTGGCTTGAGAGCAGTACATGTGAAAAGGATCTAGGAGTCTTGGTTGACCACAAACTTGACATGAGCCAACAGTGTGACGCGGCAGCTAAAAAAGCCAATGCAATTCTGGGCCTCATCAATAGGAGTATAGCATCTAGATCAAGGGAAGTAATAGTGCCACTGTATTCTGCTCTGGTCAGACCTCACCTGGAGTACTGTGTCCAGTTCTGGGCACCACAGTTCAAGAAGGACACTGACAAACTGGAACGTGTCCAGAGGAGGGCAACCAAAATGGTCAAAGGCCTGGAAACGATGCCTTATGAGGAACGGCTAAGGGAGCTGGGCATGTTTAGCCTGGAGAAGAGGAGGTTAAGGGGTGATATGATAGCCATGTTCAAATATATAAAAGGATGTCACATAGAGGAGGGAGAAAGGCTGTTTTCTGCTGCTCCAGAGAAGCGGACACGGAGCAATGGATCCAAACTACAAGAAAGAAGATTCCACCTAAACATTAGGAAGAACTTCCTGACAGTAAGAGCTGTTTGACAGTGGAATTTGCTGCCAAGGAGTGTGGTGGAGTCTCCTTCTTTGGAGGTCTTTAAGCAGAGGCTTGACAACCATATGTCAGGAGTGCTCTGATGGTGTTTCCTGCTTGGCAGGGGGTTGGACTCGATGGCCCTTGTGGTCTCTTCCAACTCTATGATTCTATGATTCTATGATTCTAAGTAAGCAACGATGTGTTTCTGTGTGGATTTTATGTGTATGATTCTCCTCTGTTGTTGAAGTATCTCCTCACACGCTGGTGTTTGTGCCGAATCAATCCAAAAGGCATATCGCTGCTGGCAGACGCCATCTTCTCTCAGTTCCGATGAAATCAAATCTAGGCGTTTGCTCATTCATAACCCTGCTCTTGATTTTGAACACAAAGCTTTGGCTTCGTGCATCAAGGATTGGTCACAAGCATAACAAGCCAAACTACAACTAATCCAGAATGCGGCAGCCAGACTGGTGACTGGGAGCGGCCGCCGAGACCACATAACACCGGTCTTGAAAGACCAACAGTGGCTCCCAGTACATTTCCGAGCACAATTCAAAGAGTTGGTGCTGACCTTGAAACCCCTAAATGGCCTCGGCCCAGTAGACCTGAAGGAGCGTCTCCACCCCCATCATTCAGCCCGGACACTGAGGTCCAGCACCAAGGGCCTTCTGGCGGTTCCCTCCCTGCGAGAAGTGAGGTTGCAGGGAACCAGGCAGAGGGCCTTCTCTGTAGTGGCACCCACCCTGTGGAATGCCCTCCCGTCAGATGTCAAGGAAATAAACCACTCTCTGACTTTTAGAAGACATCTGAAGGCAGCCCTGTATCGGGAAGTTTTTAATGTTTGATGTTTTATCGTGCTTTTAATTCTGTTGGGAGCCGCTCAGAGAGGCAGGGGGAAACCCAGCCAGATGGGCGGGGTATAAATAAATAAATAAATAAATAAGGCCAGGTTGCCCTACTTTACATGTTTATTCTGAGCAAAGCACAGAGGTTTGCACAAAGCATCCTGGGAATCATTTGCTAACACCACTGCCCAGGTAAGTTCAAGATACCAATGCTATTTTGTTAGGAACACAGTGTGCTGGGCCCGGGGGTTAACCCGAGCAACACGGTCCAGGTCCGGTCCCGAATCCAAGGATTCCACGAGGAGTCAGTCCAACAGGGCCAAGGCAGGAAACCAGGCTAGGTCAGGCACATGGTAACAGGCAGGTTCCAGCAAGCAGCAATGTTGCTCCCGCAACCTGGGGCAGGGTCCGACAGCCTTTTATCTCTGTTGGGGTAACGGCCGGTCCTGATTCCCCAGCGACTCACCTCCCTGTCTCGCCCAAAGGCAAGCACTCCTTCCTGACAGTACTCAGGTCTCTCCTTGTCTCAGACCTCAGTCTCTGCAGCTCGGGAGACATCGGTGGCTTACTAGACCCAGAGGCCGCCTCAGCCTCCCCTGACCCAACCGGTAGTGGAGCAGCTGTAAGTGATGGCCCAGCTGGAGGCAACGAGGTCATCCCCTCACCTGGAGCCAGGGCAGGCTCAGGCCCCTGACTTAGCCCAGCTGGTGCTTGTTGCAGGGGAACCTGTGCAGACTGGGATTCTTCAGGATCAGGCCCCAGACTTGGTTCAGATGCCGCCTGAGGCAGAGGATCCGGTGTGGACCGAGACTCCTCCGGTCCCGAGTCTGAGTCCCAGGCCATCACACACAGGAAGTTTCCTCACCCCAGTTGTCCATCAAGCTCAGTACTGTCCACACGGACCAGCAGCAGCTGTCCAGGATTCTAGGCAGGGGTCTTCCAGCCCTACATGGAAGTGCCATTGGGGACCGAACCCAAGACCTTCTGCTTGCAAGGCAGAGGCTTCCCTGCTAAGCTACGGCCCTTACCTGACTTCTTTTTTTTGTCTTAAGATGTGCGCATGGTGGAGGTTGAGAGGAACCGCTAAATATGTTAATTTTCCTTAGAATTAAAAATGCTGCACAAATGCTAATTCAACTCACCTGACTCGCTCTGGGTAAAGGAGAGCCATGTGCCACACCGTGACACCACCCCAGTCGTGGCCGATGAAGGTAGCTTGGGCGATGCCCTGAAGGAGAACGGAAAAAGCAGTGAGCTGACGGAGGGTTCGGAAGCGCAAGGCATGTTTCCTGCTCTGCTGCACTTCAAGCAGCAAGGTGCAACTTAACGGAAGGTGCTTTATGTATGGAATATTCTCGTTTTGTTTGGGGTTTCCCTGTATACATAAGCCCATTCTGCTCTGCCCCTTTATGTGATGTTTTGGGGCTACTTCCAACCTCAGCTCAATGAACGCAATCACATGTCATTTGGACGCACTTAATCTCGGAATTTTACGGCTCTATGATTACTGCAGATGGTGACAGCAGTCACGAAATTAAAAGACGCCTGCTTCTTGGGAGAAAAGCAATGATAAACCTAGACAGCATCTTAAAAAGCAGAGACATCACCTTGCCAACAAAGGTCTGTATAGTTAAAGCTCTGGTTTTCCCAGTCATGATGTATGGAAATGAGAGATGGACCATAAAGAAGGCTGATTGCCGAAGAATGGATGCTTTTGAATTCTGGTGCTGGAGGAGACTCTTGAAAGTCCCATGGACTGCAAGAAGATCAAACCTATCCATTCTTAAGGATATCAGCCCTGAGTGCTCACTGGAAGGACAGATCCTGAAGCTAAGGCTCCAAGACTCTGGCCACCTCATGAGAAGAGAAGACTCCCTGGAAAAGACCTGCATGTTGGGAAAGATGGAGGGCACAAGGAGAAGGGGATGACAGAGGACGAGATGGTTGGACAGTGTTCTCGAAGCTACCAGCATGAGTTTGACCAAGCTGCGGGAGGCAGTGGAAGATAGGAGTGCCTGGTGTGCTCTGGTCCAGGGGGTCATGTCTCCTCCAGCACCATAGTTCAAAAGCATCAATTCTCCTTCTTTATGGTCCAGCTCTCACTTCCATTCATCACTACTGGGAAAACCATAGCTTTAACTATACGGACCTTTGTTGGCATTGGACAACTATGTGCCATGATAATGTCTTTTATTTATAGTACAAGACAGCATTCAGTCCTTGAGCCCCCACCCCCTGCCCCAAAGTTTGTCATGGCACAGTCCAAGAGTCTACCAGCATGTGATGAGCCCTTTTGCTTAGACCAGCCCACTACAAAAGAGAGAAGGGGAGAAACCCCTAAGGAGTGCTCAGTCCTGTAAAGCATGGCTTCCAGAAAAACAAACTCTGCCCTGGGTTGAGGCTCCAGAGCAGTTTGTCTTTTTACGCTGGCCCAGAGCCAGGCCAACTCAGAGGGGATGCCTTGCCAAATTATCTTGAAAAGGAGTGGGGCGAGAAAAAAAAGCTAAACTCCAAATTCCAAGCATCCAAGCCCTCTCTTAACTTGAAAGGGCCATTCTGGCTTTTAAGAGCCATCTGTTTGCTCAAGATACGGCTTCATTCGAGACACAGCTTGCATCCACCAACCCTTTTCCTCGCTTATTCCGAAAGCCCGTGGAAAGGAGACTCACCTTGCTTGCTCTTTGAGTCCTAAATTAGCCCTGGCAAGAGGCAAGCTCCTTTGGAGTAGGTTGGCTCAGCCTCAGCGGCTGCCCAGGGAAGCCCCCACCATCCGCAAAGGGGTGCGTCTTTCATGGAAACAACCCTTTCTCCCTCACCCCAGATCTGATCCCAAACAGAGCCTCCAAAACCTGCCTTGCCAATCTACATTTTCCAAGCCCTCAGGAGTGGGGTGACTGTGCTTTTCAACTTTTTCTTAAATGACCCGAAGTCAGGGTGGTGTCTAGGTTTGCTGGTGCTACAAAATCGTTCAGGGCGGTAGAAAGGGATTGTGAGGAGCTCCGAAAGGCTGCCTCTGAATCGGGCAATAAAATGGCAAGTGTGGTTCTGTGTAAGCAAGTGTAAAGTGTTGCAAAGTGGGGCAAAAAAATAAATCTTAACTTCACATGTACATTAATGGAGTCATAACTGGTAGCAACTCACAAGGAAAGAAACCTTGGGACTGCAGTGAATAACTTTTTGAAGATGTTGGCCCAGGGCTCTTCCTTATTATTCACGTTTTATCCTGTATTTTAAGCTGTTTTTTGTTGCATCAATTAAGTGTTTTAAATTTGTTGTTAGCCGCCCTGAGACCAGTTTTCTGAACCAGGAAGGGTGGGGTATAAATAAAAAATGATGATGATGATGATGATTCTTTGTTCTGATGCTGGCAGTTCCTTCTCCGTACTTAGGTAGTTGCCAAGGTAGCTAATCCGGCATAGAATCAAAGGTGGTTGCTTTATCCTGGGCCAGAATATTTGGCCACCTACCCTAGCATTGTCTATTTCCACCTTCCCTAGCCTGAAGTTCTCCAAAAGCTTGGGACTGCGAATCCCATCAGCCCTGGCAAGCAAGGACAATGGTCAGGGATGATGGGAGTTGTAGTCCAAGACATGGGGTGAGGGGTAGGGCGAGGCAAGCTGGTCTACTCTGACTGGTAGCCATTCTCCAAAGGCTTGAAGAAGAAGAAGAAGAAGAAGAAGAAGAAGAAGAAGAAGAAGAGGAGGAGGAGTTTGGATTTGATATCCCGCTTTATCACTACCCGAAGGAGTCTCAAAGCGGTTCACATTCTCCTTTCCCTTCCTGCCCCACAACAAACACTCTGTGAGGTGAGTGGGGCTGAGAGACTTCAAAGAAGTGTGACTGGCCCAAGGTCACCCAGCAGCTGCATGTGGAGGAGCGGAGAAGCGAATCCGGTTCACCAGATTACGAGTCCACCACTCTTAACCACTACACCACACTGGCTCTCTTGAACAGAGGGAAGCTCCCTCCCCACCGGCAATCATCTACTTGCTACTTTTCAAAAAAACAGGAGATGCTTAAGGCTGAACCTTCTGCACAAAAAGCATATGGGCTGCCACCAAATCACAGCGCCTCCCTTGATCGTTCAAGTGCTGGTTCTCTTCCCATTGCAGCAGCAAGCAACGTTTTAGCAAACAGACATTTGAATGATGCAGTGAGATAAACCAGACACGCGATCGGCTTTGCCTTTATAAATGCATGCCTTTGACTGAAGAAAAAAAAAAAAAAGGACCCCTGGATGGTTAAGTGCAGTCAAAGGCGACTATGGGGTTATTATTTGTCCGCAGACAGCTTTCTGGGTCATGTGGCCAGCATGACTAAACCGCTTCTGGCAAACCAGAGCAGCGCACAGAAACACCGTTTACCTTTCCGCCGAAGCTGTAACTATTTATCTATTTGCACTTTGACGCGCTTTTGAACTGCTAGGTTGGCAGGAGCAGGGACCGAGCAATGGGAGCTCACCCTGTCGTGGGGATTCAAACCGCCGACCTTCTGATCACAGTGCCCCCCCGTGTCCCAGCTATCATCCTAGATGGCTTTAGAAGAGTGACGGAAACCAGATTGCACGGAAACACTGTTTACCTTCCTGCTGCAGCGGTACCTATCTATCTACTTGCACTGGTGTGCTTTCAAACTGCTAGGTTGGCAGGAGCTGGGACAGAGCAACAGGAGCTCACCCCATCGCGGGGATTCAAACTGCCGACCTTCCGATTGGCAAGCCCAAGAGGCTCAGTGGTTTAGACCACAGCGCCATTCACATCCCTTACCTCTGTCTGAAGCAACAGGGCGTGTGAGCATGTGTTCCTTATAAGTTAAGGAACCACATTAATCCAACCTGCGCTGGATTAGCAACTGATAGTTCGGAAGAGAGACAAATGCCCAGGAGCTGACGAACAGTTGGTGCCTGACACCCAGCATACTTTGGGCCCTGGGAAGCTTGAGGTACAACTCTGCACAAGGACACACACACACACAACCCTTCACACATGCACGTCAGCTGTAGGATAGGCGTCCAGCGCATCCCCCAGCAAAGAACAACGGAAGGAGCAAAGGGTCCCCTGTTCTGTCATTCCAGCAGCTTCTATCAGCCTGCTTTGGGTTCTCAGCCTCTCCCTGCGAGCCAAGGCTCTCGGCTTCTGCCTCATCAGCAGCCGCTGTCCCAGCCTGGCGTGGCAAATTCCGTTTGATTGAGCAGGCTCCTTTGCTCTGCCTCCTGCATGAACCGCACAGGCAGCCGGCTAATGAGATGGCAGCGGCTTCTGCTGCAGCAGCAGAAAAAGGAAGGGAGATCAAGGCTTGTAGGGGGAAGCAGCAGCAGCACAGAGGTCTGGCCTGAAAGATGGAGGGTTTGCGCAACCACAGGCCAGGACCAAGGGCAGCTGTAGTAATGATCACAGGAGCAATTCCTTAAAGTACTTGGCATTGTAGGGGAGGATATTAACAGACAGGATTGTAAATTGTTTTTATATGCAACAATGGCAGCAAGAATATTATCGGCACAAAAATGGAAACGAGAAGAGTTACCGATGAAAGAGTGGCAAATGAAATTAATGGACTACGCAGAATTAGACGAAATGACAGGAAGGATTCGAAACCTGCGGGACCAGAGATTCTTAGAGGACTGGAGTAAATATCTGAACTATTTGAAAAGCAATTGTAATAAAAAGATTACGCTAGTAGGACTGCAAGAATTTCCTGTAAGGAGGATTAGGTGAAATATTGCAAGGAAGGCTACGAAGAGAATTATGAGTTAAGGACAATTAAAAGTAACAGAGAAATTAAGAAATGCAGATTAAGTGATAAAGAACAGAAAATCTCCAGAGGTAGTTGAAGGAAGTCTAAAATATTGTATAAGATAAGAATGTGTGTTAAATGACTGATGGAAATTATATGTTAAAAAATTAATAAAAATGTATAAAAAAGAGAGAGAGAAATGCAAAGCACAGACACTTTGGGTGGTTTCGTTCTGCAGGGCTATTTCCACATGCCTAAGGGGACATTTCCATATGTGTTCTGATATGTTGCCTGCATGCAGCCCATTGCAAGTCCTCAAACCTGCCAATTTTTACACCCCGTCCTGAAAATTTGAAGACCTCGAACCCCACTTTTCCAAATACTGCTCCCCCGGGAGATGGTACTACCGACTTTCTGGAACCACTGAGCCACACTGATGGGCACCAGGTTGCAGGGATTCAGGCCGTAGCGCTACTTGGAGATACCATAGGGGAC